AAAAAAAAAAAAGAAAATATGAAACTGGCAAATTTATGCTAGTCTTGAGTTGCCTATTATTGGGCAACCTCAAAACCAAGTCCAGTGACTTCCAAATCCACGCAGGCGTGGTGTGGCAGCCTTCCTCTTCTTCTCTCTTGAGGGCGATACAGCTTTCAGTCGTAAGGAGTTTATCAGTTCCTTTCATCAGCAGCAGCTGCATTTAAGGTAAAGGCCAGTTCACTCAGTAGGTTTTGGCTCAGACCCTTCTGATGTGGCCTATGCAGTTTGCTGTACATCCCAAGAAGACACAATCCGAAGTCCAGGTAGCTTCCTGATGGAGCCTCGTTTTCTCTCTGGAGCCCCAGGGCCAAGTGCTGAAGGATCTACAGGGCCTCCACATGGAGGGCAGCGCCCACCTCCTCAAACCGGAGGTTCCCCACTCTCCAAGTCAAATACAGCCAAGGCTCGAATATCTCCATGGTTCCTTGACCTCCCTCTCACCACCAGGTTACTCATCCTTCACCTGAACCTGTCCTGGGCAGTAAGACCACTGAACTGCTGGAACTGATGAATCGCCACATGAAAAAGGAGGAAGCTGAGTCAGCACAGGCTGACAAGACCAGGTTGACCAGGCAAGATTAGTGCAGGGTGCACTCTGCCTTGTGTGTGTGGGGTGTCCACAAAAGCAACATCTGCGGGTTCCCCAAGAGGAAGCCACCCTCTCCCCTCTATCCACCAACAGAATTGAGGTTATCCAACACATGGAAATTTTGTGTAGTTAATACTCTATGCTATTTTGTTTATTCCTTTAATTTTGCTCATTATTAATTTATTGCTTCTACTATCAATGTAGTTTGCTTTTATTTTTCTAACTTCTCAAGGAGGTGAAAGACTCATTCCCTTGAAGACTGTTTTTGGTCTAGCACGTGCTCCAATTTATTCCTCATTCCTTGGATGCAGCACTTTTGGCTTCCCATGCCAGGCAGTCTCTGGGTTATCAAGGATATAAGGTGCTCAATTCTCCATCAGGGTGCCTGAGCCTGAGGGTGCCCAATTCTCTGTGAAGCCCCAGGTGTGCTGGCTCACCTCACTGGCCACTGGCCACCTTAGCCTAGAAGCTCCCCACTGGCTGATTTAAGGTGGACTCAGGGCCTTTGTAGGTACAGTAGTGGGAGAGGCAGGCTCAGAGGGAGAGAGGGAGCATCCGAAACAGTGGGAGAGATGAGCTCCTGTTGGCTTTGAAAATGGAGACACTCCTGTGTCTTTGTGGAACTCAAGAAAAGCGGGACTGTGGGACCTCCCAGTGAGCATCCCTGGGTGGGTGCTGGGTGGGTCAGCCCCTCCCTTGACTGCTCAGATGGCTGCAGGGCAGGGTTAGGCCAGACAGTCTATTTTTCCTGTACAGTGCCCTCATCTTCATAGTGGACCAAACAGAGGCATTGCTGTCTGGAAATATGTTTTCCCAAGTCTGTGAGAACAAGACTAGGAGCCAGAGGAGGCAAAAGTGCAGCCTGTGATAGAAGACTAGGAAAAGCTGGTTGTACGTTTCCAGAGATCGAATTTTATCCCTCCATCCCCTCCCAGCACTTTCTCCCGGAAAGAGGGCCTCTGGAGCTGCACTTTCTCACAAGCCTCACTCTTTTGGAGTGACCCCTCCCTGTAACCTTCAGCTCAGATAGAGGGGAGGAGAGGGCGGACTCTCCTCTGCCTGGGTAAGCCTAGTCCCACACTTTCTACTGCCTGGGGCAGAAAGAAGGTTGGAACAGGAAGGATTCCACCACATGGTGCCAATTATAGGGGAAGGAGACCCAGCAGATGGACAGACACACATGCTGACACCTTGGGAACCAGCACTCACTTAGGGTTGATCCAGGGATGCCCTCTGGAGCAGGAGAGGGGTCCAGGCAGCAGAGGTCTTGATATCCTCAGCACCAGGTAGGATTGTTGCCTGGAAGCCAGCCACAGTGTGGCAGGGCTGAGGCTGGGGGCAGCACAAGTCCGCGTGGGCTCTGCAGTTTATCCTGTAGACAATAGAATCCCACGGGCAGCTCTCCTCACAGAAATAAGTGCATCAAGCTTATGTTCTAGTTCAATCATGGCTATATGGGTAGTGGTCTGAGGAGGGGCAGGGGTTAAAATCTTATCTGAGAACAAGGCAGATCCTGCAGTGGTCAAGGTGGGACTTGTTGTCCAGGGGACTGAAGGGACAGAGGTGCAATCCATCAGGGTTAGGGAAAAGTTGATCATCATATTCCTATGAAATTACAAGGGCCCCAGAATAGTGAAAACAATCCTGGCTGGGGGAGGGGGGGGGAGGAGAAAGGAAATGAAGAAGAAAAACTGCAGTAAGCAAAACAGTGTGGCACTGGCATAAAGGTCTGCATGTCAATCAATGGTGTCTAGCTGAGAATCCAGAAATAAACCCATACATACATTACCCATTGATTTCGAAAGGGCGCTGAACTGTTAACTGTGGAGAGAATGGTCTCTTCAACACATGGGACTGGGGCCCCTGAGTGGCCACGTGCAAAAGGATGAAGCTGGACCCTTACTCACATCATATGAAAAAAGTAATTAACATGGATCAAGGACCTAAATACAAGCTAAAACTATAAAAATCATAGAGGACAGAGGACAGTGCAGGGAAAGCTTCAGACGTGTCTTTGCGGCATTTTCGATCCAACGCTGAAAGCACACAGGAAAAGAAAAAACGAGACCAGCATGCGTCATCAAAACCGAGCCTCTTTGCGCCAAGGGGCATAACAATGAAAGTCAAGACAACCTACAGAACAGGAGGGAATATTTGGAAACCATGTCCAGGCAGGGAGGAAGACAAGGCTCTCTATGCCCATGAAGAGCTGCAGTCCACCCTGTGCCACAGAATCCACTCGATGGTAGTGGGTCCCATAACAGATGAAAGCTTAACATCTAGACTGCTGAAATAACTCTTACGACGACGTCACAGCAAAAAGACTAACAACCCAACTGGAAAATAAGAGAAGGAGTGGATCACCCCTTCCGCACATGGCCAGGAACCATACGGAAAGATGGACTGTTGGCGAACATCAGGGAAATACAAATCAAAACCACAGTGAAATATAAGTTCACAACCACAGGACGGCTATTCTCAGAATCAAACCACAAGGCCAGCAGTTGGAAGCCACAACGGCTCCACGGGAGAAAGGTGGGGCTCTCTACTCCCACAAACAGTTGGCAGTCTGGGAAACGCACAGGGCAGCCCTCCTCTGTCCTGTGGGGTGGCTGTGAGTGAGGGCAGGGTGAAGTGGCGCAGCATGTTGGCGAGTCCTCAGAGCCCAACGGAGAATTGCCAGCGGACCCGCAGCGCTGACACAGTGACTCAGACAGACCGCGCACGGATCATCGCTCACGGCAGCGCTGACCCAACAGCCCAAGGCGAAGGCGGCGGCGGAGCCCCCAGCCTGCGAGTGGATGCGCGATGCGCCCCGTGCTCCACCGGATCGCATTCGCACAGGAAGAGTCGCAGCACCAGGCCACCACAGGCGCTCCTTGAGAACGCTGGCCCGGCCCCGCCCCGGGGCTAATGAGACAGAGATCAGTGGGAGGGGGATTAGGACAACAACAAACCAAACCAAACGAACCCCTTACCCCTTGTCAGTGGCTTCCAGAATAGGCTCCCTGCCTCTCTCCCCAGATGACGCCTGACTCAGCTGCTCCAAACCCGTGGGTGTGTCAGGTCCTCCTTGCCGCCAGCTCTGTGCCTTTCATGCTTCCCTCCCGAGAGCCTCTCCGAGCCCTGCCAAACTGGAGTCTCGGGTCCAGGCACTCCCTACTGTGTGGCAGGAGCCTTAGTTCAAGCCTGTCTTCTCCCAGAGGCCCAGGCCCAAGTGCTGAAGGACCTCCGGGGCCTCCACACGGAGGGCAGCGCCCACCGCCCTACACCTACCCTCCACGTGGCTCTCCACCTGGGGGAGAAGGGTGCTTCCCAGTGCTCCCCACCTCTCAGGCCACATGCAGCCACGACCTGGACTATCTCTTTGGCTACTTGACCTCCCCTAAACCACCAGGTCACTGCTCCTTCATCGGCACCGCCTGGGCAGTCAGCGCTCTTGCCTGGACTACGTGCTGCTCCCCACCCCCCACCAGGTCACCCAGTGAGAGTGGGTGGGGGGCAGCTCCTAGGAGGAGGCCCGCAGAGCCTGGCCTGCCCTCTGTGCCAGCCTGCGCAGCGCGCCCTTAACCTCCTGGTTTCGCAGGCAGTAGATGATGGGGTTGACGAGGGGCGTGAGCACTGTGTAGACCACGGACACCAGCTTGTTGTACTCGAAGGCGTAGAGGGCGCGAGGGCGGGCGTAGATGAAGAGCGAGGCCGAGTAGAAGATGGCGACCACGGCCAGGTGGGAGGCACAGGTGGAGAAGGCCTTCTGGCGGCCGCTGGCGGACGGGATGCGCAGCACAGCGCCGAGGATGGCGGCGTAGGAAGACATGGTGAGCGCCAGTGGCCCCAGCAGGATGAGCAGGGCCAGCAGGAAGTCCACGAGCTCTGCCACCGACATGTCTGAGCAGGCGAGGTTGAGCAGCGGGGACACGTCACAGAAGAAGTGGTTCATGGTGTTGGGCCCGCAGTAGCCCAGGCGGGAGATGAAGAAGACCTTTCCCATGGAGACGCTGAAGCCCGAGAGCCAGGAGCTGGCGGCCAGCAGGCTGCAAAAGCCGGGGCGCATGATGGTGGGGTAGCGCAGCGGGCTGCAGATGGCCACGTAGCGGTCGTAGGCCATGACGGAGAGCAGCACACACTCGGTGCAGGCCAGGGCCAGGAAGAAGTAGAGCTGGGCCATGCAGCCAGCAAAGGAGATGTGCCGGCACTCGGGCACAGCCAGGCTGAACAGCATCTTGGGGACGGTGACAGAGATGTACCAGGCCTCCAGGAAGGACAGGTGGCTGAGGAACAGGTACATGGGCTTGTGCAGCAGGGGGCTGGTGCGGATCACAGCCACTATGACCACGTTCTCTGTGATGGTCAGCATATAGGCCAGCAGGAACAGCGCCAGCAGGCCCAGCTGGAGCCCCCTCGAGCCCACGAAGCCCAGCAGGACAAACTCGGTCACCTCTGAGCCATTGTCCCTCAGAGACATGGCCTTGTCTGGTCAGGCTGAGAGGGCTGGCAGCATCCACCTGGTCCAGGTGTGGGGGCACCCTGTATGGAGAGAGGAGAGTGCCTCAGAGCTTCTGCAGGGACTTTCAGCTGCCCAGAGGACCAGCCTGAGCCCCGGCACCAGCAACCCCACTCCCAGGCCAGCACCCCCCAGCAGGGTTCCCGCAGTTGGGTGGAGAGAGAAGGGACAAAGCCACAGCTGGTATCCATGGACAGTATAGGACGGTATCCCAGTGGAGCCAGAATGGGGAAGGCTGGATGAGACTCTGGGCAGGGCCTGTACAGTGCTACCGCCATCTTTGTGAGTGTCTGCGGTGTGGGGGGCGGGTGTTACCCCTCCACCCTGGGTCTTGGTCCCTCATCTGTCCCTGAAGGGTGGTGGCCCCACTGCAGAATTCACCTCAAGACCAAATCTGGGTCAAAGATGACTGTGGTTCTGAGGAGAATTCTGGCTCCCAGTGGCTGGTCACTCCGCATCCTCCCAGCCAGGCCTCCAGCTGCTGGTTGCCATTCGGCTTCACCCCTCCGACGGCCTCGCTGCACCCAGCCTGCCGGCTACTGAGGCTGCAGACACAGGGGGAGATGCCGGCCCACCCCCCTCCCAACCCACAGGGCAGCTGCTCTCCTGGAGCTCCCCAGGCCCTTGGCCACCCCTGACCCCCGAGTATGGCCAGCGTGTCGTCCATGCTGCTTTGCTCTCATGCTGTTTGAGAGTAAAGCACATCCTCTGTGTGTGTGTGGGGGGGCTGGGGGGCTGGGGTGTTGCCTGCTGACCTCTGTCTGTGCCAGAGTCTGGAGGACAGGATCCCTTCCATCCACATGAGGAGGGTGACTTGGAGCACTGCTGGGTGGGTGGTGGTGGTGGTGATGTAGGGGGCATGAGGGGGCATCCCTGGAGGACACTCTGGCTTGGGCTCAACACTCGGCCCCCAGTTCTTGAGCAGCTGGCAGCCCTTCGTGATCTCTAGATCTTTATACCCCCCCCCTTGCCTCTGGCCTACCCTTCACAACACAGCCCACAGCTTGGGGATGTGGACCAGAGCCTAGACAGGTGCGTGGCTCAGGGCATGGGTTTGAATCCGCCCTGCCTGGGTGCTGTGTGCCCTTGGTCAGGACCCTCTGTGTTACTGTAGGGCATTCCCACGACTTGGAGAAGAGCCAGAACACACACACCTGGGGCTCATGGGTGTCGGGGGTGGAAGGGCAAGCTCCATACCTGCTACAGCACTGGGCTGACCAGAGAGGCCAAGGCAGGAGTCCGGGCGCCCCTGCCCCCTCTAGGATGGCAGGTGGCCCATAGATGGCAGCCTGCAGCAGGAGGAGTCCCATCAGGAGTTGTGGGGATGGATGCCTGGGAAATTGGCCCCTGACATTGCCATCTCTGGGCCTAAGAGGACCCACCCTGAGCCCCAGCCCCTCTGCCAACTCCTGGTGTGGCATCCCAGGTCCTCTCACTCTCACCCCCAGCCCTGGGACCTGGAGCTCCGGGAGAGTGACGCCCTCCTGTTACCGTGTCACAAGGTGCCCACAGCCACACTCAGCACACACACACTGCTCCAACACTGGCATTGCTCCACAAGCCCAGCCCCCAGCATGGAAGATACAGCCCCCGCAGACGTGGCCACACTGGAACCAGGCCAGGTGTGTGAGAGGCAGATTCTGGCCGAGACACATGCAGAGGCTGAGCACACAGGGCTGACCAGCTTTCAGACAGACGTGAAGACATGCCTGCTCCACAGTCCTGGCTGTGTCACACATATACACACATCCATACACACACACACACATACATACATACACATGCATATACACATACACACATACATACACATGCATATACACACACACAAACAGACACACACCTTGTCTACCAGGCAGATGCTAAGTCCCACCAGCTCCCAAGCCAGTGGGCAGAAACGGGAGCCAGTGGGGAACCCAGGCTCAGACCCCTACATGCCTCTCAACATAGACACCAATATGTCCACCTCAGGATTCCCAGACAACTATGTGGACAGGTGCACCCACAGATGCAGACAGGCTCACACACAGGTGCACACAGACTCACATGTAGGCTCACACACAACTTCACAGTCTTACACAGGCTCACACACACGTGCACACACAGGCATGCTCAGGTGCTGCGAGGAGCACCAGGACATAGGAAATCTCCATTTTCAGTTTACCAGGTACACCCACAGGCACACACAGCACACGCAATGGCACATACAAGGCACACAGGCACACACAAGCTCACCCACAGGTGCATACAAGGTGCACACACAGGTAGTCCCAGGTCCACGCAGGTGCACATTCATAAGCACGATTGTGCTTGATCATAAGCATGATCAAGGCTCATTCATCAGCATGATTAGGCACACACCGGGTGCACCTGCAGACACACAGAGGTATACACATAGGCACATACAGGTGCATAGAACCACACACAGGCACACCCCCTTCTCAGTTGTCACTTCTGTAGAGCGATGGTGAGCATGCAGGGTGGATCTGGGTCTGAGTCCCAGCCTGTCTGCAGTGCTCAGACTCACCCCTGTCTTCTCACGTGAACATGAGTGTGAGCGTGGGCTGCAGGGGGCCACTGGCGGGTGGCCGAAGGTGGAGTGCCGGATGTGGACTGAGTGAACATTTGTTGACCTGGTCTTTGAGCTCCTGCTGGGTATGGGGAGGTGTGGCTCAGCACGGGTGAAGCAGCTGGCCCTACTTCTCTACAGTTCCCTGGACCAGGGGCTCAGGACTGTGTGTATATCCAGGTCTGACCCAGCAAGGACAGAGCTCAGGAAACTGCAAAGTGCAACACACCTGCTGTGCACACTCACACCTGCAAGAAGGAACACGAGACAGGCAGCTGCTCCTTGGCTGCTGTTCCCATGAGAGGGGACAGTTGTTGGGAGAAAGTGTCCTCTAAGCCCAGGGCTCTGGTCAGCCCAGGGCAGCAGGGGCCCCTGCACCTCAGCGTTTGTTTCCAGAAGACAAGTGTGGCAGGGGGTGGGCAGCCCTTCTTGGGTCCTGGCTGTCCCCACTTCATGTTATAAGAACTCTGGAGGGAAGTTGACGCTGGCAGAGCTTCCCCAAGGAGAGCTAGGGAGGGAGGCGCTCCTTCCACCCTGAGACCTGGGGGTGGGGGGCTGGGGGGAGGCAGCCCAGAGGGCAGTGCCTGTCCGCCACCTCACCCCTGCCTCTCACCACCTCACCCAGGGACCAGCCTCCCCAGGGACCAGGCCTGATGAGAAGCCAGTGGAAACCTGCCCACCACCCACCCCTCCTGCTGTCCACATGGAATTGAGCACGTGCACCCTCATGAACCTGTGACCGTGGGGCTGGGCGGGCTGGGACCAGGACCCTTCCTGTTCCCCCAGGTTCTGGGCACTCCTCCGCTAGACTCTGCAGCCATCTGGCCTGGCCAGGTCTCACACAGTATCCAGGCAGCCCCGCTGGCTGCTGACAGAGGTCAGGGCAAGGAGGAAGTGAGGGCAAGTGCCCCAGGGCAGGTGGAGGGGTTTTACCTGGACATGAGCCAACATCTGTGTGCACCCTATTGTTTGTGCACAGCAAGGGACTCCACCCATGCATGGAGGGGCAGTGGCCAGCACTGTGAGGGTGAGGGGCGATGCTGCCCAGGCCCCTGGGTAGCCTCTCTGGTGGCCTTAGGGGTGCAGCAGATGGTTCTTTGCTCTCTGCCCCAAATCATATTATAAAGGTGACATCCCTCAGTCACCAGGGGTTTGCTGGCCCTCCCTGCATCCTTCCTCAGCTTCCCTCCCTCCTGAGCATCAGTCAGCCCCCACCCTGTCAGAGCTGTCTAGGCTTTGAGATGGCAACACCACGGGTGGCTTTACAAACTCGTTCATTTTCTCACCGTGCAGGAGGCCAGCAGTCCAAGTTCCGAGTGCCAGCTCTAGGGACAGGCTCCCTCTGGGGGCTCCACTGAGGCCCAGTCTCTGAGCTTCTGCTCCTGGGGGTCCTTCATGTGACATGGGACCCTGCTGCCCCATCCCTGCTGTTCTTGCTTGCTTGTTTAATCTCTTACATTTCCAAAGAGATTGACTTCAGACCCCACACCAATCCTGTTCACAAATACACCAACCAACCCCAAATGGGCTTATACAAAATGGGTATTTCGTACTTGCATGTGCGCTGTGTCTGCACGTGTCCTGGGAACTTCCCCAGGCTGCCCTGGTTTGCACTATGTGACTGCACAGCCCACAGGAGGGTGGAGAGGGCGCTGAGCTATAAGGTGTATCTGCCTTGCAAGACCAGTCACATTGTGACAGGCACTGCATCCTCACAAGCATCAGCCCATCGTTGCAGCCATGGTGTGGACTCACTTTCTTGAGCATCTCCCTCTTTTTCACGGACTCTCACATTACAAGCAGGATGTCCATCTCTAAGGCCTAATCTCTCCTGGCAACATGTCCAAAGGACCTGGGAGAGGCCTCCTCATCCTCTTCTGCGATGCTGCCTATCTCTGCCCATCTTTTTAATTTTTTAAATCATTTTATTGGGGCTCATACAATTCATCATAATACATAGATCAATTGTGTAAAGCACACTTATACGTTTGTTGCCCTCATCATTTTCAAAATTCGCTTTCCTCTTGGGTTCCTGGAATTAGCTCATTTTCCCTTTCCCCCCCTCCCCCCTCCCTCATGAACCCTTAATAATTTATTATTATTATATCTTATCTTACACTGCCTGGTGTCTCCCTTCACCCACCCTTCTGTTGCCCATCCCCCAGAGAGGAGGTTATATGTAGATCCTTGAGATCAATTCTCCCTTTCTACACCCCCATTCCCTCCCGGTATTGCCATTGTCACCTCTGGTCTTGGGGGGTTCATTTGTCCTAGATTCCCCACGTTTCCAGTTCCCATCTGTACCACTGTGCATCCTCTGGTCTAACCTGGTTTGCAAGGTAGAATTGGGGTCATGGTAGTTGGGGGGAGGAAGCGTTTAAGAACTAGAGGA